TGATCAAGGCCAGGGCCCCTTCCACTGTCAAGGAGTTATAGGCCAACTGCAAGAAGATACAACACTTACTCTTATCCTATCCTTATAGTTATGAACATCCTGCACATTGTAGGCTATAAAGAAGAACAAACACATTTGTGACTCAGGCAGGTTTCCAGAGGTGTGCATGTGCTTAATAACATGTGAGTAAAGCCATGACTGCTCCCACACTCCACAGTTCAATTTACTTTGTATGTCACATCACAAACACAGATGTGTTCAGCCTCACAAATTAACTCAAATCTCACTCAAACTCACCTTCAGTGTTCGGAGTGTGTCGTTCACCTCAAGTCCCCTGCAGAGCATGCCTACACCTTCGTTAGTGATGCGATTGTTACTGAGGTCCAGGTACACTAAAGCGTTGTTGAATTTGAGTGCCTCACCCAAAGCCAGCGCTCCCTCATTACCAAAGCCGTTCCAAGAGAGGTCCAAATGCTTCAAAGTCACATTGACCTGACAGACAACACATACTAGGCTGGATCAAAACCAATGCTAGTTATATGTCTTATATGTAAAAACTCATTATCTAATCCCTACTTGGACTTGTTTTATTCTGCTTATTTGAAACGTCATACATGTTGTACAAATTTGTGTTCTTGTGTAACTTCTCATACTTTGAGACCAGCGCAGAAAGCCACAGCACCCTTCATTCGGAGATGATTCCAGCTTAGGTCAAGGAGCTCAATGCCCTCATTGTTAGCTGTACCAAATATAAAAGTAATTATTTTATTTTCTCTTCACTGACCACATACATAATATGTAAAGTGCTGTGCAAGTCAGAGACCTTTATTTATTTAATTTCTAGTCAAAACGGCCATTAAGTACAAGCTATTCATTTTTCAGCACCAGGAAAAAAAGAAAAAACATACGCACATGTATATATGCATATATATATATATATATTCAGAACCTAATGATAATGAAAGACACACCTGTGGATTTTTTCAGATCTGAGTGGAGCTTGATTTTCTACTCTCTCTCAAAGATGAAATTGTTAAGTGCTGTTTATCTGTTGGGGACAGTTTCGGTGGTCTATCAGGTCCTGCACAGTTGTTAGGAGGCCCAGTTCCTCTGTAGTTTTTAATAATTTTGAAAACTCATTCCACTTATTGTCCTTTAATATTTCTTTTCTTTATGCAAGTGGATCATCTTGTATCCAGACTCATCTTGTATCCAGAGCTCAATGCCCTCATTGTTAGCTGTACCAAATATAAAAGTAATTATTTTATTTTCTCTTCACTGACCACATACATAATATGTAAAGTGCTGTGCAAGTCAGAGACCTTTATTTATTTAATTTCTAGTCAAAACGGCCATTAAGTACAAGCTATTCATTTTTCAGCACCAGGAAAAAAAGAAAAAACATATGCACATGTATATATGCATATATATATATATATATATATATGTATATATATATATATATATATATATATATATATATATATATATATATATATATATATATATATGTATGTATTCAGAACCTAATGATAATGAAAGACACACCTGTGGATTTTTTCAGATCTGAGTGGAGCTTGATTTTCTACTCTCTCTCAAAGATGAAATTGTTAAGTGCTGTTTATCTGTTGGGGACAGTTTCGGTGGTCTATCAGGTCCTGCACAGTTGTTAGGAGGCCCAGTTCCTCTGTAGTTTTTAATAATTTTGAAAACTCATTCCACTTATTGTCCTTTAATATTTCTTTTCTTTATGCAAGTGGATCATCTTGTATCCAGTCTCCTTTAAAATCCCTTCTGAAAAATTAATAGGTTGTATTTAATGGCTGTTTTGCCTTCAAATTAAATGAATGAAGAATGGTCCCTGACTTTTGCACTGTAGATACAACATACATATCATCATATCACCATCAGTCATTGATGTTAAATCATACGTACCCAGCATTTGGCCCAAATATTCCCCACCTCTTACACCGAACTGATTGTGACTCAGATCTAACTCCTTCACTCTGTAGTTGCTCTAAACAGAGAGTTCAAATAAAAAATGATGCTTAATCAGTGATTCATATAAGTGCAATATGCGTACAGTGTGTTCTTATTGAACTTACTGAAAAGGCCTCTGCAAACCATCTGGCATCATCTTCAGCAAATTCATTTCCTAATAACAAACAAAAGGACGATCTTTGACATCTAAAAAAAAATCTAGTTTTTGAATGCCAGATAAATAATATCAGTACCTGAAAGTTTGATTGATTTGATAGAAATATTGTCCAGCAGCATTTTTGCAACACATTCTGCTCCAGCAGATTGGAGATGGTTGTTGGAGAGATCCTGCAGGAGGTTAAAGAGTATTGGCAGACTTGAAGACTATGCTGCACTCTTGTGGACAAACATAGCTATTGCCTTTTTTTTAATCTAGACTCTTAAAATAGATGGTTCTTCAAGAGTTGTTTAGCTAAAAAAGGTTCTATATAGAACCACACTCAAAGAACACTTTGCATAATTAAAGGATTCTTTGCATAGTAAAAATGTTCCTCAGATTGATGGAGAATGTGCTGTAGACGGTTCTTCATAGACCCCTTTTTGCTAAGAGTGTGTTTCTATTGTAGTAAACCATCTTGACAAATCATTAATCCATCCCAATAATAATAATAATAATAATAATAATAATAATAACAACCAAATTTTGAATAGTGAAATTAGCTCTCAGCATTTCCACGATACATCTTGCTCCCTCTGCCAACAAAAAATTGTCAGCCAGTTCCAGTCTAGTAGTGTGCATGTCAGTCTGTAGAGAATAAAGAGGCACTTTTAGCAAATATGAGCTGTTTAAATGTTCAAATTTCTATAAATCTACCTCCCTATTTTATTTCAAGTAACTTGTTTCTTGTCTAAGTTAGTGCTCAACATCAACACTGATGTCTAGTGAATACAGCTGACCACTAATCTTGTCATTTACCACAAGGGCTATGGCCAGTGCTTTTCCTCCTAAAGGGCCGAGACCGTGGTGGTTGAGATTGATGGTGGTGCGGCCGAGGTTTCTCAGGAAGTAGCTGACAGGAACAACCCCCACCAGCTTACAGGCCTGCAGATACAGCTCTGCTGTGGACATGTCCTTTCTGCTGGGCTTTAGCTCTGCTACAACACAGATGTCTCATCACCTCATGAACTTAAACCATTATTCAAATCAACCACTTCCCATCTGCCCTTTTCCCTCTGGGAACAATACAGAGGCCAAAGTATTCATCAGTTTTCCACAGAAGAGATTCATAACACTGAAAAAGACTATTTTAGAACACTTCCTCTGGAGAAAACCTCGCCAACGATGAGCAATAGCCTGGCTAAAAGGATGTGTTTCTGAGTTCACCTACCCTCAGTTTCCATGTCTGTGTCCCACTCATCCCCCAGTTCAGCCTCATATGGACTGGTTCTTTCTGCCAGGCTGAGCGAATCCAGCGACAAACTGGACTTGTCCATTCTAAAATCCTCCAAACATGTGGTCAGATGCGGTCTGTGAACTGAATTTGCCCTTAGAAATTAATTACCACAAAGCATGATGTTCTTTTCTTTTCCAGAGTGATGTGCTCCATGTCTTGATGTGTGTTGGTGTTGATCCCAGGATATATTCAGTGCTGGCCTGGCAACGCAGTTCATGTGATACCTGTACTGCTGCTGGAGTGCTTTTCAGTGGCAGCTCTACTCAGCCATGCAGAGTCATGAAACATTCATGGTCTAACCACAAGGCAATCAATCATCAGATTTCTACAGACAAAGTATTTCAAGACAAACATTCCAACAGACGCGTCAGAGTTATGGAAACAAGATGTAAACCTCTAGTCAAATTTGTGAATAAATTTAAGCTGCTGTGAAAAACTGAGTTCAGATGGATTTATCAATACACAGCTAAGAATGCTGACATGATTACTGAAATTTTTTGGTAAGTAATGTAATATAATATAATATTGCACATTTTTACAAGTGTACAAACATGGAATATATAACAAACATCTATATGGAATAAACAAATGTAGAGTTTAATTCCAAAATGATATACCCATTTGTAACAAGAAGAGGTCTGAAAAGAATAACAGCTGACGTATAACACACTTTGTCAAAAACTCATTTTATTTCCTCTAATAAAGGTGGTATTAAAGGGGAATTCCATCTTTTTTTTAATTTGCATAATTAAATCTTTACAATATAAACAATATCATGGTACAATATCATGAATCAGAATTGTTAACAGTGGTGCTGATAGGAATCAGATGTCTGAAGTCAGATGTTTAATGCCTCTAAAAGCTCCCTCACAGAAAACTATTGCATGAAATGATTATAAATACATTGCCTGATGCCAGAGATATTGTTTTGGGATTGTTCTTAGATGAGATTTTGGTCTGAAATGCATTTTTTACATACATTCATTCATGCCAGAGAATTACATGCAAGGTAGCCAAATATCACACCTATCATATAATTAAGCCTATGTGTAAAGCCCACCCCTCAAAACATGCATGCTTTTAATGTGTTTTATAGTGAACAGTATGACATGATCTCTCTCTCTCTCTCTCTCTCTCTCTCTCTCTCTCTCTATATATATATATATATATATAAATGTAAAAATAGTACATAACTAAAGGTCAAACGTAAACATAGAACATAACTAAAGGCTACACACACACTCACACACACACACACACACACACACACACACATATAAATATAAATATACATATATATATATATATATATATATATATATATATTTATATTTATATGTGTGTGTGAGTGTGTGTGTAGCCTTTAGTTATGTGCTATGTTTACGTTTGACCTTTAGTTATGTCCTATGTTCACATTTGGCCTTTAGACGCCTCAGATTTCAATAGAAGTGAACGGCTGTTACCCACAACTCTGCGCTTTGTTTACAGTCGTGTCCGTCCTGAGAGACGGAGCACGGTTTCTGTTCTCTGATTGGCTGAAGCAGGTCCACGTGATCGCAATTCACAGCAGAGTTCACTGCTGCCAATAAAATATTTTCCTCTTCTCTGAAACGCTGAGGTCACTGAAACCTGCAACATGATTGGGAGCCTTATTTATTATGCCCTCTTCCCACTCACAAAACTTATCGGTAGACTCTCAGGTAAGGTACGACCACGAAGCTGTCTGCGTTTCTTTGCTATGCGTGCTTTTTGTTACTGTTTGTGCTGTTGTCACCACTGCTTGCCCCTGTTGAGTTGCTAGCATAGCTAGCTAATAACGCTGTCTGCCGTAGGCTGAGTCTCAAATGACTTCATACTCCCTACTTAGTGCACTACGTAAGTCAGTAAATAGAGGCTTCTGCGCTCAAATCGTGCACGAGGTGTACTAAAGGGAGCTGGCTAGACATCGACTGTAAGACTGAATCGCAAACACTTCCCTACTCCCTATGTAGGGAACTATTATAAGTCATTAAGTAATGACTTCACCCAAAGTAGTGCACTATGTATATATCCATGTGAGAGCCATTTGGGATTCAGCCTAATGCTGTTAGCTTGCTAGCACTGCTGTTTATGCTCCACAGGCATTGCGCACATGGCGTATGTGCAGTGGATGTGAACTAGTATGGAATTAAGAAAAGAATACGTTGACTAACAGTGGCCTTGCTTGAGTCTCTTTAAAATTATTTAATTTATTCAGGCGGCAGAATGCAACTGCTGCACCATTTAAGGTGGAACGGGGGAATTAGAACGAGAAGCTGGCGAATAAAAAGCCAACCTGGCTAACCTAAGCTAGCTGTTTCTTTGATAGAACTTGGTATTACGAAAATATTTATACTGGAATATAACCCAGGAAGTATATAATACAGAAAAATATTTTACTATGGATCTGGAAAGTTCACTTGTTAACACGTTCACTCATACACACTCATTATATACACATACCTTGTATCTGCACCCATTGGCCATTTAATCAGGTCCACTTGCAATATTGTAGTCCCTCTTTCTGTTTGCTAGTACACATTTACCTAAAATACATGTGGTCTAAAATATTCTTTACTAACTTAATGCTGTTAAATTTACCTCATTCATCCTGATAGTCAGGGCCCCCACAGGACCACCACTGAGCAGGTATTATTTGAGGGGTGCATTCTCAGCACTTCAATGACACTGACATGGTCATAAATGTAAACAGTGTTTTGAAGCACCGCTCTGTGATTCACTCTGTGCAGCACACGCTAACGTGCCATTCCATGTCAGTGACACTGCGGTGCTGGAATGATCTACCACCCAAATAGTAACAGCTCTGTGGTGTTCCTGTGGATGGCTTGACCATGGTTGAACAGAGTAAAGTAACTTATTCCTTTTTTTCAGCGTTGGGGCACACAGAAAACATTTAGTTTTTTTTAAACATTTAGTTTGTCCGCTTTTGGCTTTATTAGAGCTTCCCTTGTTTCTAAGAGACTTGCTTTCAGTTTTTCAAACAAATCTACAGGGATTTTGTCTCACACTTCCAAAGTTCAGTCTTAGAAGTTGGCTTCATTTTCTGCTTCTCACAATCCAAATAATCCAAAACACATTCATTGATGTTGAGGTCTGGACTGTGGGGTGGCAGCAGCTTCTTTGCTTGATTTGCAAACTTTCTATTTACTTTTCTCTGTAACAGCTCCTTAACAGCTACACATCAGACTCATAGTGTTGAGTTGTCTTCTCACTGTGGAAGGATGGACAGAAACACCTGTGGATTTTTTTTTCTTTCAGATTTAAAGCAAGAACGGAGCTTGATTTTCTCCTCTCTCTCAAAAATGAAAACTTTTTTTTTTCTCTCTGTATCTTTTTAATAACTTTTTGAACTCCAGTTTTGGAAACTCCTGTTTTTTACTTAATTTCCTTTGACTTCCCCCTATTTTATGCAAGTGGATTATTTTATATCTTTTCTTATTTTATGTATTTTATATCTCCTCATCTACTGGTAATAAATAACTTGTAGATATTGGCCATTTTGACTGAAAATTAAAGAAATGAAGAGTGTCTCTGACTTTTGCACAGTACCGTATTCGGCAGGTGGACTTGTAAAATGGACAGTGAGTCTAATAACGTGGCCACTGTGTTTATAGTAAACTGGCAGCAGAATGACAAAGGTACAACTGGAAGATCTGTCTGTGCTGCATGTAAAATCACTGCCTATTTGAAAAATAGTGCACTATAGTGTGTCAGCCGTGTTGTAGTGTTTGTATTCTGAGGAGTAAATCTTTTGGTCGTTCTCCAGTGGGTTGACTTATATAGCAAACGCCGAGTAGTGAGTGAGTTAACAACTATTCAGAACAGAGTGACTGAGAATTCAAACAACACCAAAACATTCAGAAACCAGCTTCTCACTGTTCTAACTCTTTTCTACAGAGTCGTGGTGGAAGGTTCATCCAGGTCATCCTGTGTTCATTAATGGCAAAGAAGTGTGGGATGGTGGTGGAGCTCCTTTCAGAAGGCTTAGTGAGCAGCAGACAGCCCTGTTGGATCAGTGGCGCAGCACAGGGAGTGAACCTTTGGAGAAGCCTAAACCTGCTAACCAAGAGAGGGGAAACGCTGAGGGACTGGTGGAGGGTAGATTTGTTCTGGAGAGGGAGGAGGTAGCTGAGGTGAAGCAGGAGCAGGAGGAGGACTTGCTTCACAAAGACACCGGGAATATTTGGTCGGCAGACCCAGCGGGGCCTGATCCCGAATCTTCAGAGGAGGCAAGAGCCTTCAGTTCAGTAATGGAAAATGATGCAAGTGACCTACCTGAAGTAAAAAAGGAAGAAACCATCCTATCAGGAAATGAAAATGATGGATTGAACATTATGCTGCATGAAAAAGAGGAAGTAGAGAAGGAGTTGTTCTCTACAATAGCTGCTCCTGCTCTGGGGAGTGAAGGAGAGGTTAGTTCTGAGGAGGAAAGGATGAATCATAAGGAGATAGATGCAATGACAGCAGATGCCCAGCCTGAAGAGAAGAGCACAGACACTGGAGAAAGTGAAGCCCAAGTCAATGAGGGCAGCAGTGTGTTTAATCTAAGCGCACTGCTTGCAGATGGTCATGCAGAGTCCCTGAATAGTTTTACACAGTTTCAGTCTGTGCCTGCTGGCTGGCATTTCCCTGTGGGTCTTGGGTTGTCTGAGGCGGTATGTTATCCCTCAGTGCAGTTTCCTGGCATGAGCTACTACCCTGCATTTCAAGAGAATAACAATCTTGAAGGTAAGATTTTTGGAAATTTGACAAAACTTTTAAAATATTGCATAAAACTTACAATTTTTCACTGTGCAAATTTGCTATTGAAAACTTTTTCCCAGATCTGGGGTCAGTGTGCTAATTTCTTCCTTACACTTTCGTACATGCACAGATTTTGTGTTGCAGTTTGTATTGGTCTGTTCTCTTTATTATTGACTATTCTGTCTTCATGCTAGACTAGGACTGGGTATTTTTGAAAACTGACACCAGTACTGATACCTTGACTTCAGTACTGATTCCTTAACATAGGGGTCAGCAATGTGGTGGTGTCTTTATTGTGAGAAATTACATCACAATATGCCTTTTTGAGCACATTGGGGATACCATTAATATTGAACACTGACCCAGTGCATATTTCAGGGTATAATTAGACCCGTTTAAGAGGATTTACTGTAGCACAGTATGTGAAATGCTGAATAAAAATGATTGTATTAATAGTTATTGATAATATTTTTAAAATTTGACACTAATAGGGCTTTTTTTGTCTGTTTCAACTTATCAGACCTCAGAAAAACATAAAATTCTGATGCATATAGTTTATAGTCAAAATGCCTTCTTGTATTGTGATATTATATTTTTGCCATATTGCACATCTCCATTCTGAACTGCAAATGACTGTAGACTAATCAAGGAACACAGACATAAAAAATGTGCATAAGTAGTGTAATTTAGACAGCCAGTCAGCAGTCTAGATTTTGGAATGATCATGCTTTATTGGTTCACGGATGCTAATAAGACTGACAATTCATTTTTAACCAGACATCTGTATTTTCTTTCTTAGTGATGTGGAGAGTGTGGGAGGACCTCAGTGAAACCGCTCCCTATTCTATAGCACCACCCACAGCTTGCGCAGACCTCTGTAATAAGTTCGCCTTCACTGTTATGTCGTACAATATCCTGGCCCAAGACCTACTAGAGGCTAACTCTGAGCTGTATCTGCACTGTTCAGAGGGCATGCTAGCATGGGAGAATCGTCTTCATGCTATCCTAAAGGAGCTTCAGACCTGGGAGCCCGATGTGAGTTTACACTCAGTGCCTCCTTCTCTGAATTACACCTGTGATTGTCAAATGCAGTTCTTTGTGATGCACTGCATGACTCAACTATTTAACAGGACATTTTATTTCATGCAGTTTTGGATTTGTATGTTTTCACAGATTGTTTGTCTTCAAGAGGTCCAAGAGAATCACTTTCTGGAGCAAATACATCCAGTCCTGACTGAGATGGGTGAGAGGAAATCCTTCTTTACTGCATGAACATCACCTCTTTAACTTTTACAGGTTTAGATTTCCAGGCTGTGATTAATCCTCATGCACATGCACATTAAACCGTTGTGTTTATAACGAACAGCCATTCACATGGAATTTTAGGAGTCAAGTAATTGAAGTTTTTAAAGGTGGAACAAGAAATCGAACTATGTAAATAGAAAGTATTTTTTTAAAGGTAAAAAGCAACATTGTCACCAATGCCTTCTTGTTAGTGGTTTTTGGACTAATAATTGCTTTATATTATTGATATCTGCGAGTATGATTTTGTTTCTTCTGCAACTTTTCTTTTTTCAACAACTAAGTGACTTTTCATGCGAGTGATGTGTAGAAGTCCACCTCAGTCAGTCCCTGTTCAAAGGATCTGGTCCAAGAGTTGTTGCTATCCAAAATCCTGAACCTGTCCCAGAGCAGGTTAGGTGTACAGCATAGTTGGCTGTGGTGTTGTAGCTTGGTAAAAAAAAAGAAGGAAAATCCAGGCTTAAATCAAACTGAGCTGGGTAAGCAAGAAATCTTGCTTTACGAGACAAGCTGCTAGTCTTGCTATGTTGCTGCTGAGCTGGACGTTATGTGGTCATCACATTCACTATCTTTCTCCTCCTTTTACATTCCCAGGCTACATTTGTGTTTACAAGCAGCGCACAGGCACCAAAACGGACGGCTGTGCAGTGTGTTACCACGGTGATCGCTTCATACAGCTGTCTGTCAGTCTGCTGGAGTTCCGGCGCCATGACTGTGAGCTCCTGGACCGGGACAATGTGGGGATTGTGCTGCTCCTCCAGCCAATCAGTGAACATGGAGAAGGCCTGCAGTTTAGCCCCATCTGTGTGGCCAACACACACCTGTTATTTAACCCTAGAAGAGGAGATGTGAAACTGGCTCAGCTGGCCATAATGCTGGCAGAGATTGACAGTGTGATCAGGCAGTGTAAGACCAAAGGAAGTGACTGTGAGGTCGTTCTGTGTGGGGACTTAAATTCCTTACCCAACATGCCCCTGTACCAGCTAATCGCCACTGGCCAGCTGTACTACCATGGACTGCCAGCTTGGATGGTGTGTCTTAAGTTACCATCTACATTTGTTTATCTGAAAAATATCTTAACCTAATCTCTTACAGCTGCATCTGTAGCTTACAGTCTACCACAAATCAGGGGCATCACTAAACTTAGTTAACAGGGGCGCCTGCCCAAGTGCCCCTCTATAATCATGTCAATATGTAAGCTAAAGCATTTGATGAACTGCACAACTTAAAAAGTATAAAAAGTAGGTGCAAGTTCACTACAGACACTACATTTCCCATAATACCCTAGGAGCTTTTTTATGATCACAGACACTACATTTCCCATAATACCCTAGGAGCTTTTTTTATTTCAGTTTAAACAAAATCCCACTATATGCCAGTTGTTCTCAAAACTGAGCTAGCATACACAAATATTTAACAGCATAGATATACAAATGTTTGTCTATCTGTGTTTAACAGCAGCTTAACCACTGAGCTGCCTGAGTGATGCTAAAACTTTTATTTTAGGGACTAACGATTGTAGCCTACCAAAAATGCATATTAGATCGCTAAATCAAAGGCCTTAGTAAAGTTAGCAGCTTATGTGGTCTAACTGAATTTGATACATCATTAATGTCGTATTTTATTTTTCAGATAAAAGGGACAACTTTTCCTAGTTACAGTGTTTAGTCAAAAGAGATGCAGCTCTCTTTTTATGCAGATTGTTCTGCCCACTAACTGACCTTGCACTGGGCTCTCCTTAATTTAGAATGTGCCTCAGTACAACCAGCAGTCTAGAAACACCCCTGCCAAAAACAAAAAATGGAAACATTTTCCTGTACTTAGAAAAGAACAGAAGAACACTCTTATAATAGACGCCATCAAGCAGTCGCTGAATTCTGTCAGTAAAAGTTTGAACAAAACACATTATTAGGGAGACTAAAAAGCTCAAAAGTGTATTGATATCAAACAGATGATTAGATTTGAATGATAATTCAAATCAGTATTTGACGACTTTTGCACAGTACTACGTATTGTAGTGATTTTAAATGGTTTTTCATAGGATTCGGTGACTGTCCAATGGTTTTTATTGTAGATGAGTTTATATTATAACAGGTTTTCTTTTTTAAACGTAATGTTTTGAAATTATTGTCCATGGTGATTGATAGTATTGTAGATTTAGGTGTTGCAGATAGAAATTAGGTTGAAAAATGCTGGAGTTTTTCTTTAAGGCGTTAACTTTCAAATGGCTTATTTGTATTTTTATTTAAATGTTAATTACAGGTGTCTGGTCAGGAGGACTTGTCATACAAAATCCATCACAGAAGGCTATACGCCCCCCTGTGGCCCAGCAGCCTGGGAATCAATGACAACTGTCAGTACTCGTCTGTCTGTGAACCTCACACAAGATCATCAGGTCAGTGTAAAGTGTGTACATGGTTCAAGCATACCCACATGAGGGTGAGTGTATGCGAAAGAGTATGCGTGTCTGTGTGTGTTTGTAACAACCACATGAGCATGAGCATGTACCAGGGGAATTTTGCAGGGCTCATCTGAGGTTTTGCTCTGTTCAGATCCTCTATGTTCATGCTCCCTTTTCATTTCAGATACTAGGTACAGTACGGTGCAAAAATGAGAGACCACTCTTCATTTATTTAATTTCCAGTCAAAATAGCCATTAAGTACAGTTTATTAATTTTTCAGTGTTGGGGAGGATATTTAACAGAAAACAACTTCATAACTAAATAATATAAATATATGTAAGAATAAGTGTATCAACTCTTTGCCTTTATTGTAGCTTCCATTCATTTTTGGAGACTTCCTTTCAGTTTTCATAGAAATCAGCAGGGATGTTTTTTCACACCTCCGAAATTCAGTCTTAGAAGTTGGTTGCATTTTTTTGCTTTTCATAATCCAAGTAATCGCAAACATTCAGTCATGTTGAGGTCTGGACTCTGGGGTGGTCAGTCTACTGTTCTGAGACCATGAGCAGTTACTTTGTTTGAGTTAACTTTTCTATATATAATTTCAATGATTTTAAAGCTCCATTTTCCACTTAATTTCCTCTGACTTTCTCTTTTTTTATGCAAGTGGATCATCTTATATCTAATCTCATCAGAAATATATCTTGAAAAATGAAAAACATGAACTTAATGGCTGTTTTGACTACAAATTAAATAAATGAAAAGTGGTCTCTGATCTTTACACAGTTGTGTATTGTGTGTGTGTGTATATAACTGGTAAAGTATGAATTGTATGCTTTGTGAAACTACTTTAATGTGAGCTTGAAAGCAAGAAAACAACTGTTTTTAAACACATAAAGAAGGCTGATGACTGTGCATTTCCAGTGGTCAGTGTGGTGTAGCTTCCTTTTAAGGCATGTGTGCTGTTGTGTCTGTGAGCAAGACTATATTTACCCTTCCTGCAGGGAAACTCCAGTACAACCATGACTTCCTCCGGCAGCTGCGCTACTGTCAGGCAGCTTGTGTGCGGCCTGCGGATCTGGAATTCATACCCGGCGTCACCGACAACAAACCAAGTATCTAACTTAACTAACCTAACATGGAATTTTACTTTCCCTTTAGTTTTGATTGCATATATAAAAAAACTGTCTTCTACTGTCTGCAGGTTCTACAAGGTGTAGAACTGATGTTATTTGCATAAGGAATAAATTACTGTAAAATAAACTAATAATCCAACCTTTTTTCATCTCGAGACAAGTGCTAGTTTCATTCTGCAATATTACAATACAGGCTCAAAGCTATGGCGGACAGTTTTGTTTATTTCAGCAAATACTGTGCTTTAATAAATATCAGAAGGGAATGAATTATGAGATTAAGGCCTTTTGTTGAAGCCCATATCATACATTTTTGTTGTCCAGTAATAACTTTTGTGTGGTTTTATGTACCAAAAACAGTCATCATACATTTTTACACGAACATTTTCCAACCTCTCTATCTCTTAGAATCAAAACAGGCCATTTTTGTTACTGTTTCTTTAAGACTGATTTATATGTAAATGAGCTTTGTTCTGACTGGCTGCCCTGTATCATGCCTTATTCAGAAAGCAGTCCAGGCTGAAACACTACTTACAACCTAAGGGTGAATGGGTAGGGCTAAACTGCTATATGCTGAATGGGCAGATATATGTAAATTATTTGGTTTTGTGGCATCACAAAGACAGTTCATTCAAACGGGCTGTTGTTGCAGTTTAGTTTCCATGTGGATTATGGATTGTATGGACTGGGGAGTAATTGGCACTTTTTCAAACTTTAGAATTTACATGTAACCTCAGTAAGTGTCAAGTAAAAATATCATTTTCACTCGTATAAATTCGTATATAAATTCCTTTCTAAAATCCATTGTAAATTGAAAAACAGGGTTAAAAGCCAAAACTGCTGCAATAAAACCAAACATGTACCACCCTGTTTCCAAAAAAATCTGAACACTGTGCAAATCGTAAAACAGAATCCAATGATATGCAAACCATATTATATTTAATTGAAAATAGTACAAAGACAACATATGTCAAATGATGAAACTGAGAAATTTTATTGTTTTTTGAAAAATATATAATAAATATATGATCATTTTGAATTTGATGCCAGCAACACGTTTCTAAAAAAAAAAAAAACAGTTAGGACAGGTAACAAAAGATTAAGTAAAGTTGTGTAATACTAAAAAAACATCTGGCTTACAACTAATTAGGTTCATTGGCAACATGTCAGTAACATGATATGCATTAGTGCACATCTGTAAAGGTACTGTTAATGTTGAACAATATGTACAGGTTTTGGAGCAACATATGCTGCCATCCAGATGATGCCTTTTTGCTTATTTCATCATGACAATGCCAAACCACATCAAATGCTCTGCATCAAATTCAAAAATGGACATCAAACCTACTGTCCGTTTACAGGAGGGGAATTCACAAAACAAAACATTGAATTAGATGCTGAAAAATTATTTATTATTTTTTATTATTTTTAAGTACAGTGCCAGTTAAAAGTGTGAGAGGAATCTGTTAATAATGTCTCTGTAACACCTACTTTTGCATTTCTTCTGGAGATCTGAAATCTTGCTCGTATTCTCTTACAGCAGCAGTTGGAACGGTTTGCCATCCAGTCAGATCAAAACGTCTTTTAAATGTAATGGTTAATCAGCTGAGCGGATGAACTTTCAATTAGTTGATTACTTGCATGTGACCAAAAATTTTTGGAAACATTGTATCAAATGTAATTTAAATCATACAACATCGCGCAAGCTGTAAAACTCGGCCACACTTCTCGTTTATGTACAATCACATGTGTTAACGCCACGCTGTTTGCTCTTAATATCACGGTAAATCTGGCAGTGCATTTTATGAATCTGGCCAATTGTCACAACTGGTTTGAAATTGGGATTGTATTAAAGCACATTTTACTGTTACTTTATTTGGCATGTACCAATTCCTTATCTGGGAAATAACACACATTATGTTCTCTTCCTTCCAGATCCTGAAGAAAAGCAGTTATTTTCTCCAAGGTGAACTCTTTGAACTGTACTTTCCCCATAAGCAAGATCAGTTAACTTTAAATACTTTCACAATATCAGTGTTTACTCCATAATATTGCAGTATATATTGCCTGTTTTCTGTAGAGACTATTTATTTATTTATTTATTTATTTATTTTTTCCAGCAGGTTCAGAAACACTATATGTCATGAATTAAACCTGAGTTCAGTGTACAGCCCATACATAGCTGATACTGAGCGCTGTGCAGTCACCACATTACACTCGGAGGGAGCTGCCATGGTCGACTATATCTTTTACTCTTCAAGACGGGGCTTCTCGGAGGACCATAAAGGTGGGCAACAGGGCAGCCATGCCTGTTAATTAAAGATTATTTTTTAACATTTCTTAAGGCTGATTTTCTAGTCTCAGTTTAAGCCTAACCCTTGACTAAATGGGATCTTTAATGGTGAAACGCCATTGACATTGTTTAGTCCAAGACTAAGATTAATCCATGTACATGAAAACAGCCTTAAATATAAATAAATTAATCAGTTGTCCACTACACTATTTCAGGTAAAAGCTTTGTTGTTTGTCTGTATTTATTAACATCATTATATGGATGCATCTCTTGTGCTTTTATACAGAGGGGAGGAATGGTCTGAAGTTGCTTGGCCGTCTCGCTCTACTGTCTGAGGCAGACCTCTGGTCGATGAATGGACTCCCAAATGAAATGTTCCCCTCAGATCACCTCAGTCTGCTGGCCAAGTTTCAGCTCGGCTAACTGTTTAGGGCACCAGCCAGTGAGACGCAGTAAGAGGTACTCAGATGGTTCCAAATTCAGAGTTAGCTTGTGCTTGGACTGATATTCTTTGAGGCCTTAATCAGGATGTTTATGGTTCTGTGCATTCGAAGTCTTTTCTTCCTGGCAAAGGTAATGGCCAAAAGCTGAAGGTTTTCTATTGTTTTAAATTTTTCCTTACGTTGACTGGTGAAGTCATAAAAACATTTTTAGTCAGATGCCCTTTTTATACTCTCTGATAGCTTAGAATATTAGAGTTGGTTTTAAATCTTGAGTTGAACCAAGATGGTATTGAAATTGGGCATTCAGATGTTAAATATGGGGTTAAGGGCATTACTTTGGCAAATAGAACGTACCATGGAAGAAAGAATTTTTGCAGTTTTGTCACCAAAATGTGTTTTCAGTCTGAAAAGTGTTGAATGTACATAATGGTGTGTAATTTATTTTTGAGACTATGTGCTTTTGTTTTGAGCGGCTTATTATTCTTTCAGTGGAAGAAAAAAAAGTAAATAACTTGCCAAAAATAGTATTGTTTTGGTATTATTTCTGATTAATACATGTTTTGACAGCCCAGCCCAGATCAGGAACTGCTGCAGACTCAAGGTTTGTGCTCTGTAACAAAGGCCTAAATAATTAAAATAAAAATAATATATTTAATATATACAGTAGTGTGCAAAAGTCAAAGACCACCCTTCATTTATTTAATTTACAGTCAGAACAGCCATCAGATACAAGTTATTCATTTTTCAAGAGACATTTCTAGGAGATTAGATGTAAGATAATCCACTTGCATAAGGAAGGGGAAAGTCAAAGGCGTTCACCATTAGATAAACGGTACTTTAAGCTTTCATCTTTGAGAGAGGAGAAAACCAAGCTGAACTTTGGTAGTAAAATGGTGGAAAAACATTCCCGGAGAACAACTGAATGACTTGTACTTAATGGCTGCATATATGTTTCATCCATACCTTTTCCATGTGTTTTGGTTAACAAACTGAGAGCTAGTCTTGAGCCTTGAAGCCTTCATCATCCTTGAAGAAGACTTTCGTTTATTTTTATGAGAGCATGGGAGGGCTGTTTATATCCATGGTGCAGTATGTCTTCATGATATCATTATCTGAAAAACCAAGCTAGTCTGTAACAGGCTCAGATACTTAGAGCTTCCCAGCTGCTTCCACTGGGGTGTGCTCAGAGGAGATGCACACAGCATGAAAGAATTATTCATGCAGCCTTAGGAGCCAGGGAGATACTGAGAATTTGTGTGTGCCTCACTAAAGGAGGCGACTGTTTCAGGCTTCTGTTGGTGAACAGTATAAGGTCTTACATAGCCAACTAAGTGCAGCTGCTCCAAGCCCCCTTCTATGAGCCTTTTATTGTTCACCATTGAAGGGCTCCAAATCTGAGCTTTAGTTACAAAAGACAGAAATTTAAAAGGATGGATTACAAGAGCGATTTAAAGTACACCACAGCAGGCAGTGGCTTTAATGCTATTATCCTCCCCCAATTCAGATTATATTTTCACTGGAAAAAAAAACATTCTGGCATCTGTTTATGCAGTAAGTTCAAGTCCTCTATAATGACACAAGCAAGGCATTTAAACAGAAAATAAAGAAAGCAGCAGAGGGTTTGTAAGTGTGCAGTGAAATGACTTTCTGCTTACCTGTAGTGGATTCTGAGGCTGTCTGTGTGTGGGAATACAGACATTTCCCAAAGGAGAGTGCACATGTTCAAGAAGTGGGTCAGTAGGTTTCTAAAGTAGGCCAACATTCCTCATGTCTTACTTGGTGCTGAGGAGTGTTTTTATGATGGAGTGTTGGACATTTGGCTTGCAGTTGGATGCAATTGGTTAATACCACATCTGACAGTCTACATGATGCAGATGAAGGCACCTTCTAAGTAGTAATGCAACTATATATTCCATCTTGCACACCTACAAAATAAGTCACCCAAAATTGATGTGTTCATCACTTTAGTTCAAAGGTATAGTACTGTGTAAAAGTCAGACCCTTTAGTTTATTCTATTTCCAGTTTTTCAGTGTCAGAAAAAAACAAGGATGAAGGAGCTTGAAAAGATCACCAAATGCAAAATTTGTCTCTGTAAAGATCAGAATTGTCCAGGGTATGGTCTTCTTTGTATGGATGTGAAAACTAGACAATAAAAAAAGCAAGACAGGAGAACTATAGATGCTTTTGTATTTTGGTTTTGGTGAAGAGTTTTAACAGTACATGAACGGCAAAGAAAACAAATATCTTGTGGTCTCTGGTTTTTGCACAGTACTTTAGGTGCTGTTCCATTACATTAAAACCTGCACAGTCAGAGAACATCTTTCATGCTGGTTTAAATTTGATCAGTGATTTTGATCAAATCTTCTGCTGAAAATCTGCCCTCTACTGTCCATGTAGTTTAGCCTAGTATAAACACCATGTGAACTGAACTCTGCCAGGCTGGAAATCTCCAGGATGTACATTATGCATGCCTGATTCATGAATTTGTCTACATTCATACTTACCACAACATATGCTGTATGGACCTTGTGAACTGCACCCTGTTTTGTGTAAGCAGTAAAACAGTGAATAATGTTGTTGTGAACACGTCATACAGCTCCTGTCTGGGCCTCCATAAAAAATGCTTACATTTTTCCACCTCAGCAGTACATTGTTTATTTTGATCATATTTCAAGTGTCAACAGTGAAGCAGGTGATTTTGTATTTTTGTCACAATTCTACTTTTCCTTACAGGAAAGCTAACATTACAGTGCTATGGCATCATGGTGTATCACAACATTTTGTTCTCAAGAAATGAAAACAGCCTCCATTGTGAGGGGGTAATTGCCAAAAGAGTTGCCCTTTTTCTCTTCAACAATCAGCACTGTGCTGCGTTTCACAGACTTTCAGATGCTTTGGTGAGAGAAATACTTTTCTCATTAGTAATTTTGACAGCTCTATTTGAGCTACAGTGCCTCTACAAAGTGTTGCCTTCAACATATGAGAGAGACAGTAGTAGAGCAATCCCACTGCATCTATTTGCATGATGACTAAAGCGTAGAGCACGCTTTCAGTGGTAAAGGCCGAAGAATCCTTATACTTTAAGGCCCAGTTTTCCATACATACAGACCTGTATTGAACCTCCCACTGATGGTATAACTAGTCCAAACTGTGTATTAGTGATACAAAACTTGTTATTGAGTATAGGTACTTGTGAGTTACAGGTGAAGCTACTACATTTAAAAGGAAGTGCAAGAAAAAGTGATTATATATAAAAAGTAATATTAAAAAAATGAGAATTTAACCTCATACAATATGGTGTATTTTAAATGCCATTTGAATTGTACTCCTTAAAGCTGAATGGGTGATTATCAAAACATGAAGTCATTTGCACTGACTGATGCCAGTCCCACTGCATATTCACACCTTTAAAAAAGTAGAACTTCTAGAACTTTACAAACTAGGCCACACTAGTCCTTCTATTGACAGAGCTACCCTCTAAACATAGCCTTTAACAAGATATTTAATAAGTTAGGGAAAAAAGTTAAGACTCACTGTTTGCATTGACTGCTTAAAATAATTAAACCTTGTCTTATAAAAAAAACAACAAAAATTCAAGTGTTACTGTTCAAATGTTACAGATGGATAAGGCCAAATTAAATTTAAGATATGTGAACCGTGGAAACTACAGTCTGCCTTTTCTACACATTCTCCTGTATATTTGGTTTACAGAAGTAAAAATAGCAGGTTAAGTTTCAAGTCATTGGAGTAGGCTGATGTTAAGCAGATACTGGACGCCTGCCTTAGAGATGGCAGTGCCAAGCAACACAAACTCTACTAGTTATGCTAACAGACGGGTGGAATGATGCTGAGTTGTATAAAAGGCACCTGTTTGTAAGTGTATTACAAACCAGTCTCAACAAAAGCCAGAAAAGCAGTCAGCTGACTTAGAATATACACTGTGATATTTACACACCGAATGCTCACAATTAGGACAGAGCCAAGTGTCTACAAAAGTGATCGCTTGAAATGAGGCTGCTCAGTTGATTGGTTCGTTAAAGGTGACATGGTGCGGTGTCATTTTTGCACACTTTCACATCACTCACACGTTTCATTCATTGCATAAACGTCTGCAACTGGATATTGTTCCAGACACCCGTCTGTGTCCTTTGAAATGTTTTCTTCAGACTTTTTTGTCCTGTGTCATTTCATCCACCCATAACAGTTTGGCTGCATGACTGGTTGTTGTGAGCAGTATGGTTTGGAAGCCAGAGAGCCAGCTCACACTCTAATCTGGTATCCATTCATATCCGCAGGAGGTTTTGGCTCCAAAGCCTTCTTTTCACCCGATAGCCTATAAAGAGAAAGAAATGTATCACTGACTGTTCTGTAATGTCGTTTCTCCTATAAAAGTCAGCAGTAACCCAAGTTATTCTTTTAAATACACATATCTAACGTTTCAGTGACGGCAAGGTGAACAACAGCCCTTTGTCTGTAGTTACCTGGCTTGTTTTCCCTCAGGTTTGTTGATATAGTGCTGCCTCTGCTGTCTTGTGATTTTAATCGCTCCGTAGAGGTGCATGTAGAAACGAATGGATATAAACAGTGCCCTTGTGTTTGAGGTGAATGCAGAATATGGTACCTTCTCTCACTGCGGCTGTTCCTGCGCATGGGGCTGCCTGGGTTACGCAGAGGAGATCCCATGTCTTTCCGTCTGTCCTTGGTGGGTGAAGGAGGTGCAGGCTTGCCGATCTGCAAAATATTGATCATCTTGATTTAGTAGAGAGTTTATCCTACTGTGTTATGATGAAAATGCATCTCATTATGGCACAACAGTGAAACAGTGGCTCGTTAAATGTGTTTAAACTGTATTTGTCATCTAAACTGAAGCTATTGATTTTATTAGTAACCAAGTCATTTCCTGATTATTTTGAAATGTAATCAACTAGAGGTTTAAAAAGGTCAAGCCATAAAAAATGTACTAAATAATAGAAAAACATGCAAAGCCTTTCAAAGTTTCCAAAATAAGTTACTTCACTGGAAAAACATAAACAAGAAAGTCTTTAAAAAGACATAAAATTAAGTTAGGCTGCAACAAATATCCAATGATAGTTGATAAATTCAATAATTACAGTATTAGAAAATGGAAAAATCATCTGAATATTTGAAATGTGTACTACTTTTATGATTCCACAAGCGTGTTTATCAGGCTAAATGCTAACAACAGTTAGCAATAACAACAACAGCAATGACAATAACACTCATAATAAAACCAACTATATTTTTCCCTATTTTTTACATAAAGTGGAAAGGTCTTGAGCTTTTCTTATTCTTTTAGAATATTCAAACATATGAGATAATATTCAATAGAATATTCAAAAATGAACATTTTTGAGAGTAGCGGCCATAAATTTCATTTATTTATTTATTTATTTTGTTAAATCACATAACTGTAATTAAATAATTGTGATGGCCAATCTTCAACTATAGAATTTTGGGAAGTCCGCTCCTTCGAGAAAGGCTGTCTTACCTTCAGAAGACTGGGAAGTAAGTTCTTCTGACCAGTATTAAGGCACCCATTTGAAAGGCCATCCAAACATGCCAACTATATTAACCCTTTATTAATATTACAAAGATTTAATAATCAGTAGCTTCCATGAAACAAGCTGAGGCCCTCAGGTTTTAAGGTGTTGACACGACCATTTTTCAGACAGTATTATACTGTAGACCACACAGTGGCAGGTGGGTCTGTCTACATAAACTTAATATCTCTCTCACACCGACTCAACCACTTAAAGTGATGGAGGAGCAGACATGCTCTACTGTACACAGACACATAAAGAGCGCAGCAGTGGAATGTGCTGAAGGAGGCAACATGAGAAGAGCTGATAGATAAAATCCTCCCTTCACTAATGGAATTGCGTCCAGTGAGATGGCCGTCCTAATAACATCAGCTATAAGTTGATGGTATGAGTAATGTGTGATGCAAAATAGTAAAGGGAAAAGCAATAAATTAAGTACATCTCAATTAAATTAAGTACTCTGAGTGGAATTTCTTTTCGGGGCTACTTAGAATAGTGGCACAAGCGGAATTACTAGAATAGGAAAAAGTGAGTATGATGAGTCATGATGTCAGAATTAATTTATGGGTGCATTTTATACACTTTTCTTTTTCTATTGCTCTTGATGGTTTCTTTATATGTTTAGAAGTGGAGGAAAGTAGCTCATGCCTGCACACATTTTATAGAGCCCCTCGCCTACATTTTTCTATTTATTTCTCCTGAGGTCCGCTTATGCCATTTGTTTGGGTTTGCGTACATAAAACAGCCATAATTTGTACATGACTGTTTACTAACCTTTCTATATCCCTTAGAATTGAACATGCTGTTTTTGTTATTGTGCCTTTAAGACTGATATATGTTAAAGATCCTTGTTCCGAATGTCTGTGCTGTATTGTGCCTCGTTCAAAAAGCTATCTGGGCTGAAACACTCCTTATAACTTCAGCATTAATGGGCAGAGCCAAACTGCTGCAGGCCGAATAGGCAAATACATGTAAATGTGTTGGTTTTTGTGACATCACAAAAACAAATGTTTCAAAATGGGGTGTTTTACAGCTCAGTTTCTATATATGAACCGAATGGGCTGGGGAGTGAAGGGTACACTTCAAAAGTAGTGTTTACATACTACATCAAAATTAAATGAGATTTTCCATGATATACGTCCTTTAAGAGACAGTAATAATGGTAGACAACTCAAAACTAACAAAAGTTAGCCTGTTTCTGATAAAAGAGTGAACTCTTTCCTGCCACGCTATGAAAAAAGTTACTGTACTCTTAAATGAAAATGTCTCTTTACTTTAGAACTCTCCAGACCACTGACTTTAGAAGCCCGTGTTCACAGTTGGCTTGAAACAACAGATCTCTTGTTTTTCCCTGTAACAGATACAACAGCAAACACTTTGGAGTACACTTAAGACGAACATCTAACATTTAAATGTGTAATGGAGTGAAATACATCTGGATCTGTCCTCCATGCAGTCACTTCAGTTATGGCCATATACAGTATATCATTAGGGGAACTGCTAGACTGTTAATTAACCCTCCAAACCACTGAGATAACACATCTGTATTTACAATTTGGCTGTAACAGCTGGTCTCCAGCCAGTTTTGTTCTTTTCTGCACCTGCTGCCACTGAATAAGCCAAAAGAGAGCTGATCTTAAATTACTTTGCTAAATTACTGGTGCCTGTTGACAATCTAGACATACATTCACAGTTTCACCCATGTGCTCTCATACAAGTAGATTTGTTGCAATGTAATTCATGACAGGCACTGAAAATGGAAAAAAAAAAACTTAATAATGCAAAACTACACTTAAGATGCCAAAAAGGATGTGTGGACCAATGCCAGAGAACCTTTATTTAAAGGGGAATTACACCAGTTTTCCAAAGTTTCTATCTAAATTGGTGACGTAAACAATGTCATTCAGAGAGGTCATTAAAGGGTTAATTGTAGAGAAAATTACCAGCTCGGATTTTCCTTACAGTGGTGGTGATAGGAACTAGGGGTCACAAAGTTATTTCATGCTATGGTTTGTTTTCTTATCTCAAAACTATCATAAAACAATGTCTCAGGCATCTGGCGCAAACTCATAACTGTTTCGTATAATAGATTTCTGTGAGGTAGCTTTTAAAGTCATAATACTCTTCAGACGTTTAGTTCCTATCACTACCACTGTGGACAGTTCTGACTTTGTAAGTTTTTCCACAACTGAGCATGTCACATCAAACTACTCTGAACTACTTTGTTTACATATTGATCAATTATTTATGCAGAATTTTTTAAAAATCAGTGGAATTCCCCTTTAAAGAACTACTTTTATAAACAAGATTGTGATTGAGATGTGATAGTGAACGAATCACGTAATGTCACATAATAAGAATCTTCACGTAATGTGCCGGTTTTAGACTAAGTAAAGGATTGTTCCTAGACTCGTACATTCAAGCCAAGGACCATTTGGGAATGTCTTAAATATTCTCAGACTTGTTGCTCACCTTCAGCCTCATGTCGCGAGTGTGTCTCTCCAGTTCTTTCCTCAGCTCCTCTTTCGAAAGCTTGTCAACGTCCAGTACAGAGTGCTTCCATTCGATCTGCTCCACGCTGTGTGGGTCGTGTGACACATACTGGCCAATCTTGACCTTGCGCAGTGTGTGCCAGTAGCCCTGGTAGGCAGTCTGAAACTCCTGCAGCAGGTCAGCGAGTGTGCGATACTCCAGAGGCTTGAACATCAGGTCCTCACGCCGGCTGATGCCCAAGGCACCGAAACGGCCGCCGCTGTGGATTCCCAACACAATGTGGCGGAAGTGGCTCCCTGAGAACTGAGTTTTAAAGCTGATGGGGAAGCGCTCCACAGATGGCATGTTGTTGGTGAGGTAACTGGTGCAGGAGCAAGATTAAGGAATTGAATTCACCTTCAGGCAGTGGAGTTAGGACATGAGTGTCCAATCTTATCTTCAAAGGACTGGTGTGGCTGCAGACTTTCACTCCAAACAAGCAGAAGCACACCTGATTCCACTTGTTTAGTCAAGTGGCTTCAGTCATCAAAGAACTGATTATGTGTGCTTCTGTTCTGTTGGAATGGAGAGCTTTGAGGATATCAATGCAGATGTTTCTCCACTGTAGCAAGTACCACTAATGCTGTGACAGTGCACGGTGAAAAATGTGATATAATCCTTGATATTCAAGAAATATATTGATAAAGTCTTTAGTCCATGTTACTCCACAAAAACAAAGACATTACTATCATTTTTCACTCTTTTTTCATGCTATGTAGTTCTGAAATATCTTTCTACAGGGTCAGTTTCAGGACTACACAGTTTTATTTTAAATATCTGTATAATTCAATAGCTAAGATGTAAATGTCTTTCAGAGTGGTCTGATGTAAAACGCTATGTTTACTGAGTCAGAATTGTTCACAGTGATGGTGATAGGAACCAGACGTCCAAAGCATTTAATGCCTCTAAAAGCTCTCTCACAGAAATCGATTACAAGAAATTATTAAAAATAAAGTACTTGATGCCTGAGATATAGTTTTGTAATACATTTTGGCCTAAAACATATTTTAAACACATGCAGGATGGAGCGGTACATGCAAGTACAAGGGCATTGTAAAAAACAGTACACTGTAAAAATGGCTCATCAGATCTACCTAAAAAAATGACTTCATATGGTAACAAGTAAATTAGCTAGTTTTATTCCACCTAAAAAAATACTTTAAATGAACAATTCTTTCAATCAAAGTAATCTGACGAGCCATTTTTTACAGTGTACTTAAAGAAAATGTATGTTTTCAGATTACCTCTATCAGCATTACATATAAAACTCAATACATGTAGGCTAACTGGTTGTTTTAGATAGCAAATAAGATATTATTTACGCTGTAGATGTTGTGACCCATGGTTTCTATCACCGCCATTATAAAGAAAGCCAAGACGGTAAGTTTCTTTACAATCCACTATTTCACATTAAACCACTCTGAATGACTTTGGTTATATCTCAACAAATGAATTATGCAGCGACTTTGAAAAATTAGTGAAATTCTCCTTTAACTTTGGAGTCTTGCTGTTTGCTGTGATATCCTGAGTCTAATCGAGCTTTTTGGTAAACGTTGACAAAAAAACAGGTGTTACAGAGAAAGACAGTGGCTACTTCTGGTCTTGGACCTGATAACATACGATTCAACTTACATGTACCTTTACAAATGTTTATGAATGATTTAAAAATAGTTTATTAATGGTTATTAATTAGGTCATAAACAACTTAAAATCATTAAGTTACATCTCATAAATGAAAAGGGCAACAGTGACCTGTTATATCTTATGAATATGAATATCTGATGAAGCTAGCAGGTTTAACGCTGTCTGATGGAGAAGACAAAGTAAGATAAGGAACCAGCAAAAACTGAGGTTTACCAGTATAAATTAATCTGGGATCACTTCATGCCACTTCTTATTTATGTGTATAACTGCTTATTAAAGATTTTTAAAGTATTTATGACCAAATCAATAGCCATTAATAAAGTACATTACTAACTATTAATACCTATAAATAAAGAACCATTCATGCACTCTTTCTAAAGGTAGTCTCATTGTAAAATGGTACCACCTTCATGAGTTGAACCAAGTGTCTTAAAATATGAAACATACTAAAACTCCCCAGAGATTTAAATGACTGTCAACAAGCCAAATCTCAACTGTGTAAAAAACAGTATTAGTCAGTGTTTCCAGCATGTGCAAACTTGAACGAATAACACTGATATGATCTGACTACTTCAAGTAATGGAATTTAGATTTTCCTACCAAACAACCAATGGAAAGTTTGTGTGCAGTGAACTCCACAAGGAAGGATACATGCCAAGGATTACAGCCTCCAGACATTTGATTGGTAGAGATTCTCTGGTCATTTCCTTAGCTATGTCCATCAACCTGTGGAAGAGACTGCACTTTTAAACATGGTTAAAAAAAACATCAGCATGATCTACTGTAGTGTGAACCTAAATGAATCTACCACAAACCGATATTATCGGTTATCAGAATTTTTAGCCCCTTAAAATAGGCGTTGGTCACAAAATGTTCCTATCTGCTGGACGCTAATGGATACTCATGTTTTGTAACAAATCAAACACAACTGGTGGAGTGTGGTGCTGAAATCTGATTTCCTTTAGTTGATGTCATCATCTCAGCTCTATCATCTCCTGATCAGTAAACACCCTCAGCTGCTTCCTGCATCTGTGTCCCATAAGCAGCAACAGGAAACAGCCTCTTGCTGAGATCGGAAGGGATCACGGCTGAACTTACAGAAATAGTGTCCTGCACCAAGTAAAGCCAATTCACAAGCTAGCTTTTAACTTTCTGGTACATCAGAGCATAATTTCATACTGTAGTGTGTAAAAGTCAGAGGCTACACTTCATTTATTTATTTTTCAGTCAAAACTGTCCATTGTGTACAAGTTATACATTTTCTGGAGATATTTCTGAGTACATCACACATAATATATGTGTATAAGGAAGGGAAAGTTAGTGAAAAAATAAGTGTTTCCAAAACTGGAGTTAAAATGTTGTAAAGATACAGAGAAAATGAGACTCATAACAGCCATGCAAGACCTAGTAGACAAAAAAATTGTTTTAACTTTTACATTTTTGAGTTAACTGAACCTCTAATAGTACGTAACCAGAACAAAAATCTGTTTTATGCTCTGTCAGTGCAGTTCTGTTAGCTATGTTTAAAGCAGCACAGTAACTAACTTTTTAAAGTTAGAACAATGAACTTACCACCCCACAGTCCAGACCTCAACATCACTGAATGTGTTTCGAATAACTCTGATTATAAGAAGCAGAAAGTATAACCAACTTCTAAGACTGAACTTCAGAGGTGTAGAAAAATCACTTCAAAAGTGGACACACTAAATATGTTACATTATATTTAGTTGTTGAGGCTTCTGTGCAAATTTGTGCTAAATATATATTTTCTGCTTTTTTCCTTCATAGTGAAAAATGAATAAGTTGCACTTAAAGGCTGTTTTCACTCAACATTAAATAAATTCTCTGACTTTTACACAGTACTGTACATTGAACTGTTAAAAATATAGTATACGACAAAATCTATGGTATACGGTTTTAGACAAGATGCTCACGCTGTGAGAGGTCTGCTCTTCTTGATCTCAAAAAACTGGGTTCCAGTGTGATTGTACCTGGTTAGTGCTGTTAAGTTAATTATAATTTCTGGAGAGACATATAATATCCAAAAAATGTCAGATTTAAATGACATTAATTTGAACCCAAACTACACAGCAATCTTACACATAAAAGCCATAATCACATTTATATTTACAAAAACAACCCTGGTTTAAATTTGTACACAAATGTTCTTTATAAACACAGTAGAAGAATCTGCCATGAAGGCTGAGAGGGCTGTAAATTTCAGTCTCTTCTTTAGAGCCAAAACACAAGGCCTATTAAAAGATACACAGTTTATTACTCCTGTCTAAGCACTGGTAAATATTTCATAGATATAGAGACGACCAGTGTCTGCATTATATCTCTCTGGCCTACTTTCCATGTCTCTGACATGAGTTTGCACCCATAAATGATACATGATGTATAAAATCAACACTCAATGGCAATACCAAACACAGCTATACATCTGTGCACAGAATAGCAGATGTAGCAGTAGTAGAACAATTCGACAGCTTTCATGAAGCCTGTATTAATGCAAAGTTAAGCTTCTGGACAGCAGTCATTCAAAATGTCAGTAAATAGTGGCTGAAAGGATACTGCAAGTCCCTGATGTATTTCTGTATGGCTTCCAGGCGATGGGGAATACTGGTGGTTGGCTGGTATGTAGGCACAGTCGGTATTGGAATCTGTGGGGTTAGAGGAAAGCACGCGATCAATGCAGTGCTCGTACAATCACGTTAACTCCAGCTAAAGAATATCTTCTTGTTCTGTCTGACACTAGGTCCACTCTTTGGGGCAAAACCCATGCTCAGAATCTTAATTGCTCACTTGCAAATCTTGTAAAGAATCAAATAAATTCAAATAGATAAATGGAGACATTCAGGACAGGCACAGAGACAGCATTTAGAAGGAGATGAATCTGCTAAAATGTTAGATTGACCACATGCATAACCTTCTGGCCCTTTGGTCAGGAACACTGCATTTCTGCTTTAACGGAGAAATTGACAGATTTATTGCGGTCAGTAACATTTTTGTATTTTACTTTCTAGATTTGTTTGCATTTTCTTATTAAAGTATTTTTTTCTACATTGTTATAAAGTGCACACTGAAAAATAAAAAACACAAACGAGCAACATTTGAAAGTTTTTCTTATAATGATTTCATTATTGCATTTTCAAAGTAACAGAAACTGAGACTTTTCCTAATGCATCTTTTTTTCTCAGTGCTTTTAAATTAATGATTCCTTATGGGTTTAAAATAGAAGTGATCAGGAATTTGAAGATGTGTATGTGATAATCATGATGTCATGCTGTACAAATGACTAGAGGAAATGGATACAGGCTCATATCACAGTCTGTTACAGCCATTATATCTTCCATTATAGTGATATATTGTGTGTTACAGGACAATACATTATCTTAAGTGTTTCACTGCATGATGCTCTCTGTTTGAAAGGACTGGATTGCACTAGAACAGGACAGCAATGTGTACATGCCTGTCTGAAAGGCATACTGTTAATGCGGCTTGTGCCTAACGTAAATGATGCTGCTAATATCTGGGATAATAATAGAGCATTACTGCAGGGTGGGTATATGACGTTTCCCTTGGAGCTAAGTGCACGTATGGCGAGCTTTGGGAATTCTTAGTCTACATTCAGACAACAGAGTGGAAGGCTGCAAACCATTTTTTAATCTAGTTGGACCTGTGGACTGTGATTTAGTGAATCTGCATGTGATCATTTGCTGAAATCTCTATGTGAGTACAGTCCAAGTCTGTAGAAAGACCTGGTGTGACAGGATTGCTTTTTGCTTTGACTCTTAAGGAAACAATCTCACCTGTTTTTCACAATGTGCGTGTGAATGTTCAGTCTTCATGAAGACTTCTGGTAGTTTATTGTGATCTAAATATTAATTACTTGATATAACTGGTCTTTACATATCATCTCTGTCCAAAAAAACTCTCCATTTTTGGTGATTCTGCATAATTTGAGCACAGCAGCTGCCCTTTACATTGTGTGAAAATTTCGTGATGACTGGACCAACAGAAATAATCTAAAATTCCCTGGAAAAAAATCTTTACATTAACTTACATTGAAAGTAAAGTACTGTAAAGTTACCATACTTTTTTTTTGCTTTGGACAGCGACAATACATAGTATGTCTCAGAATTTGATATAAGAGGAAAAGGTGAAAAAATATATGTATATAAAGTACTTCCCATTTTACTATTTTAATATTTTAGAGTTTAAGGAGAATTGGTGAGAATACGCACCATGGTCAAATGACATGTTCTGTTGATTTTCTAAGTAAAAATAAGTTAACACCTCCTCTATAAGGATCAAATTTAAATATATTAGCACATTATTTGCAAACAATTCCTAATATATTTAAATTTGATAATTGTAGAGCACAATTTGTATTTATTATTTTTTAATTTAACATAGTGAAAAAAAAATTAAACCTCAAATTTAAAGTGGACCATGGCTTTTGTACGTCACATTTTATTTTTAATATTTTCTCCAATATTTTAATTTCAGCAAATAAACAGCGACTGCTTTAAAATATGCAGAAGGGTGTTCTCTGTAAAGGCTGTGTGCGTATTTTCCATTGGAAAACCAAAACATGTCATTTGTCCAGCAGCGTCCAAACATTTGCATTCAACTGTATATAAAGATAGAAGCACTGGGTTAAGAGAGTATTATTATGGAAATAGGAGAGAATGTATGGAATATATGGAAATAAGGAAATATATCAGGGTAGATCATCACCAGGACCAGGGCTGGGCACCCCTGATATGAGAAGAATAATTAAGAATAGTTAACGAAAATTTGAGAATAAATATGAATACAAGGAGAATATATGATAATATTTAAGGATATAATAAGAATAGGCGAGAATTTCTAAGAATATAACAAGGAGAATCAGTGAGAGTATATAAGGCTATGAGGGAAATATGTGAGATATTTATATAAGGATATAAAAGACAATAGGTGCTCACATATAAGAATATAATGCGAATAGGTAAGAATACATAAAAACATAAGATGGATAACTGAAAACATAAGACAATAAGGGACATATAAAAGTATATAAAGAGGTAGGGAGAATGGGTGAGAATATAGGCATGAATAAAGAAGAGGTACCTTAGGCAGGTCGGTGGCTCCTCGAATCCTCTTCGCCACTGCCTCTCCATCGGGGTGAATCCGGGCCACATGCCTCCACATCTGCTCCCATGTCTCCTCATTGACCGGCAGCCCACCCCGGTTCACAAAGAAAGGGATGCCCCCATCCCGCAAATCCTCCTCTCCCTCGTCCTCTTGTTCCTCATCTCTCTCCTCAACCCCCTCCAGACTGACAGCAGTCCTCAGCATGGAGAGCCCGGCGCCCCTCGGCTGGCTTAAACACATGCCAATGCCTGCCTTGTCCATCAGTCTCTGAGGAGACTTGCAGTGATGGACGCTCCCGCAGCAGATCACTGGCATTGGCAGCTCATATCACACTCAGAGCACTGAACTGGAGCATTAGCTGCTTAAACCCACCACCAATCCTCGGACTGTTAACACAGATGGTCCCACATGTTTGCTGAGGCCACTGATGAAGCTTTAAAACACATTCAGCACAAACACTGACAATCCACACATGTAAGTGTAGCTGGTTAGCTGCAGTCAGCAACTTGGGGAAGTGGGGCCCATTGAGACCGACAGGAGAAAAACACGACTGTTAGCAAGCTATGAGGATAAATATGCTCAATTACAGTGACAAATTCCTGTCAGCGAGCGAAAATACAGACAGTTTCGCCATTTAAAGGGAGCTAGATATCTATTCGCTTACTGTGACGAAAAAGAGAAGGACCCGTGTCTGCGTTCGGCCAGACTGTCAGTTAGCAGAAGCTTCGTGGTTTCTAAGCACCAGATACAATGATACTCGAAAAGCGGTACAAAGAAGGCAACCGTGTATGTTTTAGATGGAAAACTGAAACTGTCTGGCACTGAGGACAAAAAAATCCCCACTTCACTGATGACCGGTACCGGTGGTATATTCCAGAGGTCGTTCACTCCAGGTCCGAACTGCCCGACAGATTAACCGCCGTCACATTTCTTCTGCACCCGCTCCGTTACACGGTCACAGCCTACGGTTCCCTGTTCACTCTGATTATGCTAAATGTCAGTCAATCGTCCAGCTGTTAACAGTTACAGGAGCTGATCTGAGTCCAGCTTCATTCAACACCGCCTTCAGTCACGCCCATATCCCGCTGTACCGCGCATGCGCACTGTAACCGGATTACTCTGCTGTGATTAGGGAGAGCCTGTAGCTCTGCTCCTAATTAAACTCCATATATTTGGAACAGAGGTACTGTACACCCATTTTCACACATGGCTATTTCTACTGGACTTAGCAAAAAAATTTAGACACAGAATAAGATTTAATTCATGATTTTCATATGTAATTTTATTATGGTACATTGGCGACAGCATCTTCTCTGCTTTGCAACTGTTCACGCCTCTGAATTTTAAGTTTTACCATTTTATTTTACATTGAGGACATCAAAAAGACAAGAGAGTCTAACAAACCTAAGTTCTTATGCTGACAGATGCAGATAGCACTAAGAATGTCCACTCACTTCTACAGGGAACTCAGAACTCTTACTTAGTGTTCACTAGGTAACAATACAATCACTTGAGTATGGGTTAATTTATTATTTAATGGCAGAATTTTAAAACATCAATTATCTTTAAAAGGCATTTGTACAATTATTGTACAAAATAATATTACACCGTCCTCCAGATGGTCAAAGTGGGCCATAACTGTCACCATTTTTCATAATTTGAGACCATAGTTTACAATCAAATGTAGTCTGTAGTATAAATTTCACTCAATTCACTACAGATTTATTTTCTTCAAAACAAATACATACATGGCTCAGTCTGGAGCAAAAAAAGAGAACAAAATAAAAATAAATGATGAAAAAATAAGAAAGAGGCAGGAAAATAGCCAAATGTGCAAAATCTTTGACACGCTTGTGGTTTGATATACAATGTTCTAATTTATTAAAGAATTCAAATACAAAAAAAAAAAACAAGGCAACTCAATCTTCAATATGTTATAACCTCGGTGCTCCATAATCATCTGGCATTCTTTCAATGTTATACCTGGTGAACAAAGAAAGTTACAAATATTAGCAGTGGATATTTAATATAGTTCAACAGACTTTACAAGCACTATTTATCATTCACAGCAACACTTCCAACAAAAAAACAGCTATAATATTTATCATCAAGGTGCAATGTACAAGGTACATGAACTGACAAACTGCAAATAGCAGTCCAGGAGGTTTACTAACAGAGCATGGAAAAGACAATTTACCTGCTGCACATTTTATCATTATTTTATTTTAAAAATATCTTTTCACTTGGACTGTAACCATGGTGTTTGCAAAAATAATGCTTTATTTTACATGTAAATCAGCAGTACATAAATAGTACAATACAGCGCACAAATCAATAGTGTGTTAGGCGCCCTCTACTGGCCAACGTACAATGCTCTAATTTATAAATGCTCTAACAATATGGTTACTTCAATATTAGCATTTTAATGATTTGGTACTTCAAGAGAAAAGAAATTAAGTCATCAGATGTAAATAAAGCACTGAACACTGGGTAATATCATAAACCTTTTTACTTCACCATAGAATTTTGTCTCTTACGTATATATTGGATGTATACTGAGGACTGTTTACCTGTGATTAGAGATGTACATGATTGGGACACCTGGGATCTTTCGAATCCTCCTCTTCAGGTCTCTATCCACTGTGGCCACAATGTAACACTTGTGCTAATGCAAGGACGAGAAGTAAAGATATTAAATGGCACTCTTCAATTTACGTAATGCCTTTGTAACTGAATCAGGTGAACAGGCAGATGGCAATGCTGTATTACCTGAGTTACCCTTTGGACTAAGCAGTCATCAGCATATGTTCCCTTATGTGAGCATGGCAAGCGTTCAAAGCGAGGATCCTTGGCTATTCTACAAAGACAATTCAAAAGGTCATGAAATTCCTATAAAGCAAAGAACATTTCATGTACCACAGCACTTCAGATTCCTGTCTCTGCAGCCTGCACCCCATCTCCCTTAAAGTGTGGGTCTACACACTGAAGCGTGAATAAGACAGAAGGTTTTGGGCCACAGCTGATAAAATTTGATTTATTTATTTTTCACATCAACTATTACACTATATCTAAAAATATGAGGTTGTGTTATAACCACCATATTTTATTCATAATATATTGATAATGTATGTTCTACATCATGCAAAACTAATAAACATACATTTATGTTTTCATTACTTTTGCATAATGGATTTTTTATGCAATAGATTCACATAACAGATTTTCACAATTTGATCATTTCTTTCATCTTAGGGTAAAAAAATTATTTAGATATCTATACTACAAATACTCACTGGAGTAACTCCAGGGTGTAAATTAATATCGCATTGTTGCTTAAAAGACAAAAGTATACATGGACAACTGAACGCAGATTGTTACCTCAAGGCAACTCTGTATTTCATCCCTAATTTCTCAAGCTCAGCCATGACACAGTCTGTAATGCAGGGAATGCCTGAATAAAACAAACACAAAATTTAAGGAATATTAGTGATTTATGAATAAAACCATCTGTTAGGAAGACAAACTCAGATTAAGACTCACATTTAGCATAAAGGCAGTCCATCATCGATTGGACTACATCAAGTTTTGCCTTTATGGAGAAGTTGATGAAGTTTGTGTCCACAAGGATGTGATAAGGAGGTCCAAGTTGAGTGTTGTACTGGAAGAACATACAGGACGGATACTTTGGCCTAGAGATTATAAAGATATTGCACTGTTGATGAGCATGATGAAATAATTACTTGATTTCCCAAATAAACTGCAGCAGTCTACAAACACATTCTTACACTTCATGTTCTTTGATGGCTGAGGGGTCTTCTTTCTTCTTTTTCTGTGTTTTTGCTCGATCCTTCTCCTTTCTTGAAAATAAATTGAATTAGAGTCAGCACAGCATCACTGTACCACTCTGTATCCTGTTAAACTGGCTGTCCGATTCAGTTAAACAGACAGAACTCACTTAGTTATTGCCTATGGTGTGATGAATGCACTCTTAGATAAGGAAATACTTACAGTCTTTGATCCTTTAAGCTTATCATTCTTTTCATTGCTGCATATTTCTGCTTCTTCTGCTTCCCCTAATAGAACAGAAATAAACACATAGCACTTGACTCCCTTTTTGTTAAGGGGGACTTCCACCATTTTTTTCAAATTTCTGCATAATTCAATTACTGACATGTAAACTAAGCCATTCAGAATGGCCTGACATGAAACCTCTACACTGTAGACAAACTTGCTGACTTGCAAGACGTGTGGTGGTGAAAGGAACCAGAGACTGTAACGTCTACAACACAAATATAGCAATTCTTTTTGCTATCTAAAACCACTAGTGAACCCACAGGTTTTTGTGTTGATAATGTTAAAATATCAGTAAATCTGACAAAAATTTTCTTTGGGAGCTATTGGGGAAAATGTTAAGCCTTTTCACTTTGACACTGAACATTATAGGCCAGTTCCCCAGACGCATATTAAGTAAATCATTTTTTTTGGTAATCTATGTCTGAACAGTAAAAGATGAAGCCTGTGAACCTAAATGGATGGTGTGCTGACAGTACTTATACTAAACAAGAGACTTGTCTTAGGTTTCAAAAGTCTTAATAGTTATCTGCAATATTTTTTTGTGTAAAACAAAACTTAAAAGTGAATGCCCTGTCCATTTGGCCGTGGTCTCACAAGAGAGAGATTTAGAGTTCCTTTTTCTAGAGGACATGGATATGGTTCTTGTACTAATCCAGTGAGAGAGAAAAGGGACAACTTCAGTTTTTACACCTAGGTTACATATGTGGCAATCGATTATTTCATTCCTTGCCAAGTATTCCTGAATAATAAGACAATATCCCATGCTACACGGTATCGCTGACCACTCAAAACAGAATACAGAAATGTTCTTCCTTTGCACTTTTGTGTTTCAACTCCTGAGTGGCGTATTTCTAAACGAGGATGAAACTGGCTTCCTCTTCGAATTTTCCCGTTCTACCTTAAAGACTACAGCAGTTCCATTCTTTCGCATGAGGCCAGAATGTAACTGGTGCACCATTTAAGGTAGAACGGGAGAATTCCAACAAGAAGCTGGCGAATAAGAAACTGACTTCAGCTTCGTTGTTTCTAAAAACATAGTCACAGTAATGCACTTAAAGAATGACCTACAGGTACAACACAACAGCACTAACTGTAGCTTGTGTCTGATAGGTAAGTTCTCCGTAGGTACGCAGAGTAAGCGAAACATATGTGCGCGAACTAGTTAGCGTTAGTTAGCAAACAAAGCTAGCTGAGCGAGCTTAGTGTGTTTTCTGCCTGAAGCCAGCACCCGGAATTAAACATTCAAGTTGCTATATGTCAACTGAGAAATGCCAACAGATAGTCCACTTCGGTACATACATATTTACATTTTATTTTTCTTGGATTAATGCTTACCATTGCTAGTGTGTGTCCGGATAAAGCGCCGTCTAATACAACCCTCGTGTGTCCATGGAAGTGATGGAACGTTTGACGTCATCCACGTTCGACGACGACGACGGCCTACAGCAGCCGCAGCAGTTCGTCCAGTGTGTGTGTGTCGGTGTGTGTGTGTTTGTGTGTGTGTCGGGCTTAAAGCAGACAGACCGGGTCAGAGCCTGCGGACTAGTTCAGCACTTTAGACGTCAAAAACACGCACACGCCTGGTAAAATTGAATTTATTTCGGCCTTTAAGGTTCCGACGTCCGTTTGAGGCTGTGCTGATGCTAGCTAGCTCTCTGCTAACGTTATTCCACTGGCGCCTGAAAGGACCTAAAGACAGTTAGCTAGCAGGTTAACCGTGTTAAACGGTCGAGCAGCTGCTCTCACCATCAGTGCCGCGGACGTTTCAGAACGGTTTGTTGGTCGTAGACGATCGGTTTATTGTGCTCGGATGTTGATTTTTTTGTCTGGACAGCTATGTTAGCCAGGCGCTGCTTCTGGTTCCCTTTTTCATACCAGCGTGGTTTCCAAGCTTGCTTACTGTAGTGTTTTTGTTTCACAATTGGGAATCAGCAAGCTAGAGTTCTCGAAAGAAATTCCACACTTTTTACACTGAGTGGTTTTTAGGAATGAAATCCAGACACTATTGTGCCTTTGTGGATAGCAGTTTATTTCAAGCAACCTAAACCAATTAATATATCGAGTTATGTCTTACCAGACTGTGATAACTATCTCTTGTATTCCATAAGGTGTAGGACTTTTGTTAGGACGTTTGTAACCATTACTCTTCCAGCTCAGTTTGGTAGATGTAGAAAGACATATGGATATGCTTAGTTTGCTCAAACCAATGGCAGATGCTGTGTAATGCAAAAAGCAATTCCAATAAATGTCAAAAATGTGCCATAAATTATGCACTGGTGTGATGCTAGGTCATTATAAGTAATGATACTTTTCATCAGGTTGGTTCATGCATATTGAATGCATCTGAGTTACATGCTTCTACCACCCCTGTGTGTCACTTTTTAAATATTAAATTACTTCGTCAGAGACTTCTTTGTACCTCTGCAAACTGCAGCTTTGCATTTCTGTTTTGAAATGTCATGTAATGGAATTGTTTATAACTAGTGTACAACAACATAATCTTGAATTTTGTGTTATGTCTCGTCTACAGAGGTGCTGAATTGCTTGAGATGACATGGGAAGAACACTTAAAGGTGGATAGGCTTACTTCTGCAAACAGCAAAACCGGAGATATCTGGAGAGCGAAAAAGAGAAAAGCCCTGTCCAAATGAAGTCCAATGTTACAGAAGACGGAAGTCTGAGTTAAGACTGAAGATGGTCTGATGGACCGCCGCTTCTTGCTGACCTTCATCTTTTGTTCAGTCTCGTGGATTTTCTTCTGGGAAGTGCGCTGGAAGAAAAGCAAGGAAAGTCAGATTGAAGAATGGCTGCAGGGGCATAGCCTGTCTGAGTACAAGGATTTATTTGAAGGTCAGTAGAATACAGAAATAAGTGTTGTTTTTTTTCTGCAGGAATGTTTAATTTGTATTTTATTTCATAGTAATTTTGTTTATGGTTAAGACTTATTGGCTGCCTTTATGAAAAGAAACTGGACTAGGAGGTCATTGTTCAGATTAGAGTAATCCATGATGTTTGGACATTTCCCAGAAACCAGAAATGGAAGTGATTACAGTCCTATTCTATATTCATTTGCCAGGTGTCCCAAATCACTGCTGTTTTTCAGGTTGAGTACTGTGGCAGTGCAAGTATTTCACATAACAAGTGAATGGGCAAAAGGCTATACTAAAAAACAGTACTTAAGTTCAGTGGCTAGGCATAGGCTTGTCTAGCACAGTATATTTATCATTGCTTGAACAGAATTGCCAATGTTGCCGTATCTTCAGCCATGTGTACAGCTTATTCTATCTGTGTGCAGATGTCCAGTCTCTGGAAGAGCTGAGTCTTAGTGTGTTGGCTCGTTTGAAGGAGGTGGTAAAGGAGCACCGGCGCTGGAGGGACATTACTGAAGCTCACATCCATCTCCTCCGAGACTTTGCTTTTCAGGAGTGGCTGTGCTCCCAGAGCCTGGAGCACTACTACCACACGTAAGCGCATAAATACACCGTTTCTATCATGAATGAAACAGAACTTGATTGAGATAATTTTAGCCAGGCTTATCCATTCAATGAAGGTGGTTAGAAGCTTTGAGGATTGAATGATTTTGTTCACACTATTGCCAAGAATAGGCAGGATATTACTGTTGTTTGCCCTTCAGTCCACCTGGGGGCAGTAGGGGCTTTATGTGCTTGAACTGAATGCCATTGAGCTCTGGCAGCTGCAGTGAAGAGGGGGTCATTGCAGCAGTCTTCTTTAAGGGTTGTTACACTCAGAAGCAATACGTATTGAACCTCTGCAATGCTGCAATATGTACTGAAGCATGTTCTTTTTGCCAGAATACACACTTCATGAATAGGCTGATATTCTTGACATTTTTAGAAATAAGGTGGACATTAACAGCACAGTTTATGTATCATCGTAGTTAGTTAAGAAGATTTTGTTTAATAGTTTGATTTAATTCAATGCAGAATAAAGACTTTGAGTCAATTCCAGACATAAATTTCAGTTAATTTCTGTTTTAATAAGCCCAAACTGACTCTTGTTGTTTTTCTCATTTTGTAAATGCAGTTTATTCCACAATAGACTTTTATTATTTTAACTTGTCTAAGTATGTCTTCCTCATCGAGTTCTTGGACTGAGTACTTGGCACTGCACTGCTTTTCTTACACTTTTCTCATACAGGTCTTTCCTGTTTGTCCTGTGCATTGCATTGTTGTGTTTTAAATATGTCAGCTATGATGCGGTGTGTCTCAGCTGAAATTATGTTACATAATGTGTAAATGTGTCATCAGTGAAAGCGTTGATATTTATACTTGGTCAACAGTGGCACTTTTCACTTGATAAAAGTATTCAGATTGATAAAATGTTATCAGTATTTGTGGTACGTGCTGGTACCTAAGATTTGGTACTTTAATCTCTAGGCACCTTTTGTTTTTCATAGCATAACCTAATAGTAGCATTCAGGTAAAATATAATCTTGCATCAAGCCTTTTTTATTGCGTGTACTTCCTTATTATATCATTATGTTTGTATTGTATTTGTTGAATAAGAACATTTACTTCCGAATGTGAATGGAGTTGTTATATAGGCTAAGCATTGCCTTGTCTTTTGTCTTTTGGCAGTCTGAAGGCCCTGGGATGCACTAATCTGGATGATTTAGCTCAGTTTGACAGCCAGCTTCAGCTTTCTTTGGCAGCCTGGGGCTATTACTACGAGGATTACATCAAACTGTCTACAGGAGTGAAGGTTCTACAAGCTTCCAGGGGCAGCAGAGACCAGGACTACGAGATTCAGTTGGTGCACAGCCTTGCTGAGAGGCGCCTCAATGAAAAGTGGTCCATTGGTGAGTACCGTCTGTAACTTGTGGGTATCGCCTTGGGTGAGATCAGAGTGGGGTGTTGTTTGTGGACAAAACTGTTGTTGAATATAATTGTCTTCTTTCGAGCTTATGTGCAGTACAGTGTTAGAAAGTAGATGAGTAAGATTACCACACCACTGATAATATCAAGAATGTGTGCACTGTCACTCTTGACTGCTCACACCCATTCTCTTCTGTAGCTAATGGGAGTAGCTGGGTTTTATGTAAATTTGTAGACATTGTAATGTATAGTTTCTCAGCTGAACACAGAAGTAAGGTTTGCTGTCTGGTCTGTTAGAGAGCAAAGAATATCAATGTAAGATAACCAGGATAGTTAATGATTGTAGGTGTAAATGAGGCCAGTGTCAAGAGCCTGAATTCTGTTGCAGTTTGTTCTGTTCCTGTTCAGAGTAGCACTGTTTCGCATAAGGTGCTGAATTTTAATGTCTACATATTTTGTTCTTCAGCTGGAGCAGTGATATTTGGCTGTACTGTTGCACTGTGCTTTCTGATAAGGGACCTCATGTTTTACGTGATTGGTGAGTTATTTTATTCCTTTTTTCTTTAGTTTTAAGATTTGATAAATGTATACGGCTGTATCTAGCTGCCTGACAACTGTTAAATGCCTTAAAAATCTCCATTAGTTTTCAAGAATGCTTAATTTTGCATTGTGATATTGACAACAAAAAGTCTGTAAGTAAACCTGTTTTTTATGTTTTGAGTTTTTAAAGGTTTGTAGTTAGTTAAAACCAACATACTCAGTCTTGGGCAGCATTTGTGATTTACCATGAAGAACCTGAAGGGCTTGTTTCCTGGCTGTCTAAGCACATACTTATTCTTGTTGGCATTTGCATTCAGCTAAAATGACAATGTGGTGCTCAACGTCTGCCCTTACGTTTCTGTCCCTTATAGGTGGAATAACTGTTTCCATCATTGCATTCGTCTTTACCATCAAGTTCCTATGTGAGCTCGCTGCACGGGTGGTCAGCTTTCTACAGAATGAGGATCCTGGACGCCGCGGTGATCGCAGTATTTACGACTATGTGCGAGGGAACTACCTGGACCCACGCTCCTGCAAAGTCTCCTGGGACTGGAAGGAGCCGCAGGAAGTGGGCCAGACTATGAGCTTTCGAGTGCAGGTATGCTCAATATTCCTTTATTGCACAATAGTGTGTTGTCAGAGGTGGTGATTTGTTGTAAGTTGATTTGCATTTGTAAATGCTGCTTCTTCACTTTGTTGCTAAAAACGCTCCAGGTATGGTTTTCTATTATGTAGTGTACGTGTTTATGTATGTTAATAACTAGTATTTTATAATGAAACATTACCCCCAAAAAACGTTTTACAGTCATTTTACCACAGTTAAAGGCTGCTAGTAGGAATGACTTGAGAAATGAAATTAGTAGGAATGAGTAGGAAAAAGTCTACCTACAACCCCCTTAACTGTGGTAAAATCACTGTAGCACAGAGCTTTATGTGGCTTATTACATTTATTAAACAGGAAAGAAATGTAATGTAGATAAAATGCTCCAATGATCAGTCAGTCAATAAAAGTATCAATTAATCAGTATTTCAGTTAATAATATTGCAATAAATAATTCTT